TTTTTTTTTAGTTTTTGTGCTATTTACTAACCTACAGTGATCTTTGGTGTGGTGAACATTATAATAACTATAGTGACTAGTGAAAGAGAACTAGCTGACTAATGCTAGTAACTCATCTTTGGTAAACAAAACTTTGGATACTAGCTCTTATGGACTACTTTTGGTAACTGGCTCTTAAATAATCTAAAAAAATAATCTTTGGTAGTAATATCTAATGCTACTTTGAATACTGAACAGTAAACTAATACTGGAGACTGGAGACTGGAATACCCAGCAGTTAATATACCAAAGTACTACTACTGGTAGATAGTACTGATGAGATCTTTGGAGACGAACTGGTGGTCCATCTACGGTGGGTAGACTCGTCCTCTTACAAACTACAGGTAGACTGGTAGATCGGTAGACTAGGGCTGACTATCTCCCGGAGATCACTGACTTGCCCAGCGACTTGACAGCAGCAGCTGGAACGGGTTGATCGGGGAGTTCTTTGACTACGTTCTTGGGTCGTTCTTCACTGGATAACTGCGACTAAGCACTAGCCCCTCCGACGACTAAGTGGTTATGGAGGGGCAGCAGACGACTAACATGTTGCACTGACTACGAAGAGGTGTCCTGGAGACCTGCACAGATGCGCAGCGGTCTGGGTGACGGCCGACGTTCTCGAAGAAGGGGGCATACTCATTCCGAACTCACGAGACGCACAGCTAACACTCGACTCGCCTAACACTTGCGATTCCATTTCCTCAGCACGGCTGCCTCGAGGGCGACTAGAAGAAGGCTTGAAGCTGCACCCAAAAGGGCTGTGGACAGGCGGGAAGCGGTTGATCCCGCCGTCCGAAGACTCAACTCCTGACTAATGGAGGTTTGACTAGAAGAAGGTCGACTAGGAGAGTCCTGAGACTCAAGGACTAGGATGACTGGCGCCTGCCGACGTCAGCTGACTAGGGGGTGTCGTTCCGGCTGATCCTCCATTGCTCGGGAATCCGGGGAGGTCTGTAAATATAAGAATACACTGTAAGTTCACTGCACTTTGAATATGAAACACATCTCACTGTTTGTCACTAAAATCACTGTATGTATTAATCACTGTTCCGAAATGCTGCTGTACTTACCGAGCCACGACGGTGAAGTATGATTTATTTGAGGGCCTAAAAGGCCACGAGGAGGTCCTGTGAGCAGAGGACGTTCCTCGGCTACAAGCTGAGGCTGTAGTGATTTCCAAACCAGGTTGGCGGGCTTATATACGCTGTCACAGGCAGGTGCACCCACCACGCGTGTCGCGGACCAATCAGGGCCCAGTAAACAACCTGCCACGCGCCGCGCCAACCAACCCGAGAGGGGCGGTGGGCCGGACGCTCCCGCCAGACCAATGAGCGGCCAGCGTAGGGGTTGAACGCGCCAATGGAGACTCTCAGAGAACGCAGGTGGCCGGCATGTGGCGGCACGTGTCAGGTGAGCCACCGACCCTCCCGCCACTGCTAGGTGGCCACCCACCATTATCACGCATGGACCCCGATATAGTGACTGTACTTATCAAAGGACAAAGTTTTCTGCTTAATATATGCCATGAAATACTGCATTACCCTCCCTTAAACACCTTGACCAAATACAAACAAAATCCACACTCTTACGCGTCCTTGCAGCTCTCTCAGGAACGACACACATGGGGCTGCGTCCGTGGCAGCGGCGCGTGCGGGCTGCTGATCCAACTGGACGACATCTGCGCACCCCACATTGCCCCCCCCCTCCCCCTCTCCAGACGATTATCCCCGAGCTGGTAGTGCATCACCCCCTCGCGAAATGCTCCCCAAGCATCAATGCCTGTGATAAGTCCTTGGGACAATACGGCAAAACAGATCCAGCACAGACAACCCCAACACACCATTGTAAGCCTTTGTCTGGATGCAACCTGCCACATCAGCATCAAACACAGACACAGCCTATTACTCTGTAGGATAAGATATTAAGATGAGCTATAAAAGGTGAAAGGTATGGGCGTTAATAAATTGGTAAACACGTATGATCAGTGTATATTCAAAACTAGACCTATGGTAAGTGGCACAAAAGCAGTAGTTCTAGATTTCACTTCACCAGAATCGTAAATATTGGTTTGCCTTCATATCTTTCATGAAAATACGTACATGCTTCCTCAGAACCCAGCTTTTATATTTTCCTATATCTCGTGCTATACTATGTCAATGCATCGAAAATAAGACACCATTATTGTGCTTTCTCCTATTAAAAAAAAAAGAATCCTCGCTGTAATAATCCATAGCTGAGAAACTATTTGTCAAAACCCTTACTTTTTAAATCTCAGAACAGAACACGGCAGGCAAGCAAGGTAGCAAGTTATTACTTATCAGTGCCCACCTCACAGATCATTATTCTGACTTCTTACACATGATCATCATTAAGAGATCTTATCTTCTCGTCGAACAAGACGGGACATCTTCTCCTCCCCCCCCCCCCCTCCTCGCCCTCCTTCACCCCCCTCCCCCCC